AACGATGTAGTTAAGTGACTTTTCAAGAATACGATAAATATATTCCTGAACATTCTTTGCATTTTAGTGATAAATTTAATCTTGATAATGTCAAAATTCTAATCATCCCTGCCACAACAGCTCATCTTGATACTCGGCAATCTTGTTTCTTTCATATGAATACCGATTCTCGTGTTAACGATATTAGTTTCACGCCATCTCTCCATGAAACGTGGAAATGCATTTTGCCCTGATTTGCCTTTCTCGGCTATTGCGGTTTTGTTTCCGTTTTTTTGCTTTAATTTTTATTTTCTATTTCGCTCTTGGGGTACTGCGGTTTTTTCAGTTTTACTTTCTATTTTTATGTATGTTTTCCTGTTGCAGCTTCACATTTGTGTTTTAGATCTGAGGGGATTTTTATTATAGACTATGTCAACCTTCATGTACCAAAAAGTATCTCAAGATATAATCAAGTTAACACAATAATAAAATTCACAATAAGATAAATTTTACAATAATAAAATTCCCCATAAGATAAAGCGAGAAGATAAAATCTTCTCGCAACTTATTCTCAACCAGGATAGTGGAATTAACATTAAGGGGTCCGAACTTTGGGTAGCTCACCTGACTAAACTATGGGGGCCATATTTCCCAGATTGCGGCTATCCCCTTTATTTTGAAGGTTATGAATCCAAATATGTTTTGTACGTTTTTCTGTCCGATTTCGTAACTTAATAGTTAGCACTAAATATAACTTTTTCATGGGGGATGTTCAAAATTGACAAATTGAAGTGAGGTTAAATTTAAAATTGGGGTCTAATACTTATGCTTTATAGATATTTAAATTGATATAGGTTGCGTTAAAATATTTAAAACTTTGAAATGTTTTACAAGTTTAAAACTAAATTTGATTTTCAACTTGTAATAGAAAATGAATTAACGTTAGAAGAAAATACTAGGAATGCAATTTTCTTATACCATATCGCTTCGTACTTTTTCGACGGAAATATATTATGCCTCATATTTTAGTTCTATAAGAAGTTTTTAGGTTATTATAAATGTTATTTAAAACTCTCCAACTTTCTTCCGCTCGCTTTCCTTTTTTTTTCTTTTGAAGGAAATAGTGGTGATATGTGGTAAGAATGCAATTTCTTTTTGACGAGCAAGTGAAGCATTTTTAATGATTTATGTTTTTCTGCTGAATTGAATGCGATCAATCCCGAGACTATCGGGCTAATCGTTTAGAAGTTAAAAGGGTTTTATGCATAAAAAATTACTGTTTTGTACTTGCACCTATTTACGCATCTGATATTGCTATTTAAGCAAGCAAGAGATTGTTTCTAAGTATTCTTTTACGATAAATTAAATGAGACTATACATGAGTCAAAAGAAACCAATAGTTCAAAAGTTGCAAGAGTTTATATGTATAATCGGTACTTCTTTTGAAACGTACTTATGTAAACAATTTACAAAGATATTCAGGAACTATCTGATGACGTAATGTAAATTTTTTAATGCAATTTACCAAGCTAAATTGTATGAGACCAATCCGGAGACAATCGGACTAGTGGTTTAGAAGTTATAAGCATTTTAAGTACAAAAAATATAATCTTGTACGTGTATTTATTTACGCGTCTAACATTGCTGTACAGACAAGTGAGGTATCGGGTATTTTTTCTCATTTAATCAAATGAGGCCAAAAGTAAACAAAAAACGCTAATATTTCAAAAGTTGAATTTTTTTTATATGTATAAAATGTACTATTTTTGAATTATACATATTATGAAGAAAACCTTGTAACTTATTTATTAAATCTATTCGAATTTTTTCTCATTCAATTATGCAAAAAAAAAAAAATCATCGAAAAATGTACCTCATGCGCCCAGATAGTCCATGCACAGCAAAATAAAAAGTGTACAAAGCAATGACACAGAATAACACTTCTTATGCATAAAACCGCTTTTAAACCATTTGTTTTGCTGACACGTGTATAGTTTCATTCGATTCAGCGTAAAATTATACATAAGAAACAATGTCCCACTTATTTAAATAGCAATATCAGATGCGTTAATAGGTACAAGCACAAATTTTTACTTTTGTACATACTTACTTACTTATCCTCTACGTGCCTTTGGGCACTTAAGGCCTCTAGCATATCCCTCCAACGCTCCCTGTCTCTAGCAATAGATCTTGCTTCCTCCCAGCCAGATATTCTACATTCTTTTAATTAGCTGGATGGTAAGTCTGGGTCTTCCTCTTGTTCTTTTACCATCAGGGGCCCATGTATGCGCAACAGATGTAATTTTTTCTTTGGGCATTCTAAGGTTTTTGTTCATAAAGCCCTTATAATTTCTAAACTATTAGTTACATCGTCTCAGGATAGTTGTTTTTCAGTTCAACATGAAAATATACGTAAGAAAAGAATGCCTTGCTTGCCTGTTTAAAATGCAGAAATGAAAAATTCGGCAAAGGGAAATCAAATTTTAGATTTTAGGAAATTAAAAAGTCATCGACAAATGCCCCATTCAACTCAGGACAGGAAATATTTAATATGACACCCATAGGATAAATGGTATGAACGTCGATGTCTATTTGCCATTCAATCAATAACGACAAATTCACATATAAAAGTAACTTAATATTAAATTTGAGGTTTAATAATGTCAAAAGACTTTTATCAGATTTTTATTATTAAATTAAACTGAAAATGAAAGCAAGTATACGTTCTAATCATTCCTCTGATGCCTACCGACCTTTACGAAAATTTAAGGTATGCACGTGTTAAGTGCTTAACTTTAGTAATAGAAAAGTTTTTTTTTTTTTTTAAACTTACTACAAAATGTACAATTTGAGGAAAAAATAAGTCATATAGAGAGAGCAATTTCAATTAATTTAATTCCAATGGAAATGCACACAAAGCTTAAAGGAAATTAAAATACTGAAAACAAAGGTACATTGAGATAACTTTTTTTAAAAGTAGTGTCACCACATCTCAGTGAGTGAAACTGCAAACAAACTTATATTTGAATTCTAAATTATATATATTTTTTTTACATTGTGTTTGAAAACGTGAATAAAAATGGGAAGATCAGGAGATTGTTTTCATTAAAAATGATATAGGAGATTAGAAGATTGTTTGAATTAAAAATAATATAGGAGGATAGGAGATTGTTTGAATTAAAAATAATATAGGAGGAGAGGAGATTGTTTGCATTAAAAATAATATAGGAGGATAGGAGATTGTTTGCATTAAAAATAATATAGGAGATTAGAAGATAGTTTGAATTAAAAATAATATAAGAGGATAGGAGATTGTTTGCATTAAAAATAATATAGGAGGATAGGAGATTGTTTGAATTAAAAATAATATGCTGGTTCACACCCGTCAAGATAACTTATTTTAACTCTATAATAAACTATACAAAACGGCTGATAAATCACAAAAAAGTGAATAAAATTTTTTACTTCGAAAAGTATGATTGATAAATTTATTGTAACCTTTGAAAAAAGAAGTTACTCAGATTATGAATGACCATAAATTACAATCACCTGGGGCGTAGAATCATGCCGCTCTTCCTTAATTGGACGATTAAAGGTGTTTCACATTTATTGTGTGGTAAAATTAAAAGAAATAATGGTTTAAAAAATTTCCTTGAAACTTTCTTGAAATCACATGGCTGGTTTTTGGTCACTAAATTGGAATGAAGAACCCAGTGTGGAATGGACACTAAAATAACCCAGTAGTGTGCTGTTATTTAATGGACTTAAAACAACAGCATTCAGTGTTGACATTAAAATTACATATGGAATAAAAAAATGAGACTCAATTAATTGGTCGCTAAAATCGCCTATGAGTATAAACTGTATAAAATCTTATTCAAGCAAGATAAGAACCACTTCCTATTTGAACAGTTATAATAATATTCTCATTTTTCAGTAAAATTACTTCTCATTTATTTCGTCGTATTGTGTCACACATTCTGCATTTCTAAGTTAAAATTATTTTTAAAATCTAGGTAATCTTTCATTTCTTTATAATATACCTAATAAAATGCATAACATTAAATTATGATGATAATTATATGCAATAGTATTCACAAAATTACCTTTATTCTTTTTGAAAAATATTGACTTTTAGAGAAAAAAAAACCTGACAAATACGAAGCAGTCACGAGAGAGCAGAGCAAGCAGTGGCAGAGCTGCCTAGTAAGATATGTTGTAGTCAATATGATAAAAGATGTTTTGCATTGGTTTAAGAAGGGAGATATGGTTAGGTTAGATATTTATTAGTTTGGTCCCCCCCTTTAAAAAATTATATTCTTTCAATAGCAGTGTACTATCCCTAACTTACTTTCAGGAGGAGCTTTTGTGATAGCAGGACATATATATATTTGAAATAAAGACAAAAACAAATTTAGTATTATTTGCTCCTGAAAATGTTATTATCAAATTTTTTTAAAAGTTAATTTTTATAATAGTTTATAAAAAAAATATGTATGTATATAAAAATTTTATCTGGCCACATGAATGAAAACTGAATTCTAATTTCATTAACCCCTTGCTAGTGTCGCCCGAATCTATTTCGGGCAACTACTACGTGCAGTATTTGTAATGCCCGAACTGACTTCAGGCGGAAGAAAAATGAACCTTTCTATTTTGTGAAGCCCAAGCTGAGTTCGTTTCTACTTTATGATACTTAATTCACTAATTTCCTAATGGACGGCATTAGTGGTCCTAGTTTTCCCCCGATTATGACTTCGGTCGAGGGCAGAGTGCGATATGGGCTTGTGTGCGATACCATGTTTTGGGATATACCATACTGTAAAAGATTTGAAAAATTTATGCATTGAAAATCCTATTGTTGTGTCTTTATATTATTTTGTCTACTTGCAATAAAAATTACTGTGTTGCACTTGCACCTATTTACGCATCTGATATTGCTATTTAAACNACTGTATAAGAACATGGAATGCAATAAAACTGTGTGAAAATTCCAATCACAAAACAAAGCAACATTAAAATAAAGAATTAATTTTTAATATACAGAAGGAAAAAAACAAATATTATAATTTAATATAATTTTTCTTGCAAAAGACGTTCCTTATTTAATAACACTTGAACTTCTTTGCTTTCTAATTTGGCATTAGTGAATATGGCTCCCACAAAAATATGTGTTCCCCACTTATGGTGTGATATGATTCTACAGCATCCCATATCATCAATGGTGAAACCAAGATGAGCATATCTTAAATCAGTTTGATACATAGTTGCATTGGTAAGAGGAACAGATGAATTCTAAAAAATAATGACAGAAAGTAAGATATAAATAAACCAGAAATGTAATTAGTATTTATATTAATAATTAATGCAAAAAGAAAGTTTTTTTTTAACAATTTGTTTCACATGCAGCTTTAAAAAAACCTAATATTTGTAAATATTTAAGAGAAAAATATTTTGACTCAACTCGAAAATCGATCTACAAAAAATATAACAAGATTGAAATCATCCACGTTCAGCATTTCACCTAGTTCCAAAATAAATTATCAAATTTTTCCAAAATATAATGCTACTATTTCAGAAAAATTACAAAAAAAATTTATTTTTTTTAAAAACATTTCTCAGTTTAAGGACAAAATTATTAAACATTAATACAAACATTTAAGTTTGAACAATCTGACAAGCAGTGAAAAAAATGCTTTATAGTTATTCTCAGTTCACACCGCCATCTACTGATTTTGAAACGTGGTGACAATAAATATCTATTTCTGTAAGCAGAAGAAAGTAAACAGTACATTTTTATCTTCTTCCATTGATTTTTTAAATTTTCAGTCATTTTTTCGATACACAGTACTAGATGTTGCTCTCATTAAGTATAAATAAATTTCTAACATGATGTCATTTACCTTTTAATTTTATAGCTAACACAATTAATAATAATTTTTCGAAATCGTAAATTTTAAAACAAGTAATTAAGGTTCTTAATCAACTAAGAAAAAATAAAAGCTTTTTAAAACCCTTTAACTTTGATGTTCTCCATATTTTTCGAGCAGCAAATAATTTGATTTCAGAAAAGCCTAAAAAAAAGTTTCTCAACTTCACCCGTTGGAATAGGCAGCTTGGGACACTAATAACAAAACCTTCATGCATAAAAACAATGAGTTAAATTAATAAACCTCTTAATAATTTAAGATTTCTTCACTGGTAATACTTTCATTGTTTAACCAAAGGAAATACACATTGAAGATGAAAGGTAACTTTCACAGACATAATGTAAACCGGTTTCCAACGGATTGATATGGGCTCTGTGTATAAGGAAAACACAATATTCAAAAGTTCCTTCCTTTCCTGTCCGAAATCTAAAAACTGAGAAACATGTAGTTTTAAATTACTTACTCAAAGCCCCAAATTGCATCGTTTCATTGCTATAGAGTTTTGAAGTAAAATTTATAGAAGTTCTAAAGCTTACCATACGTTATTTCTCCTAATTTGATTAGCAAATCTTTTATTTCATATCTTTTTTGAAAGGAATTTGCTGTCTAATAATGTATTACCATTAAAAGTATGTTTAGTACAAAAAAAACACACACACAAATTACAGGTTTAACTTGTAATCCAAGAGAGCGAGAATAAAAACTCCTTAAGCGAACATTAGATGAAGATCTTTTTGAAGAGGTTTGCACCCACCTCTTAACTTAACCACCTTCTAGAAATTAAGGGTAATGAGAGAGAAGAGTCAGTTTTTATTTATGGTTCGTTTGCTGTTGTATTTTTGTACAATTTATTAACACATTTTTTGAGAATTCATTTATATCATCCATGTGTATTAATAACAGCTAGCACAGTTTAAGATGGAATAAAAGAATAAAATGGCAGTCACTGTCATGACATTAAAGGCATTATATATTTCCTAGCTTTTTAATTTTTGTTTATTTCATTACTTACTACTCATATTTAATAATTCCTAATCCCTTAAATAAGTAGAACTGTTAATTAATCTTGATTTTATTTTATAAAGGGCAAATGTAAATATTTCTATTCTTTTTCTTTCTTAATATAAGAAACAGTAAACTTTTTTATTTTAATGCAAGTGTACAAGTAGTTATCATTGAATGTCTCAAAAACTGAGTATCAAAATCTATTATTAATCTTTCTTTCTTCAATAACATTAGGTTTACTTTAATTTTTAATTAATTCTTTGGGGTTTATTTTATGCCAAATTGTTTAAATATTTACATTTGATATTGAGGGATTGGCTTGATTTTCGTGAGTGGTCACTTTTGATAAAGCACTTATAATTGATCTCTTCCTGCATTACAAATCGTCAATCAAATACTCACTTATTAATCTGCATTTAATCCGGCAGGTCATGCGGATTTTTCTTTCATAACCTGTCTCTTAATATCATTATTCAAAATTCAGCATTTTTTTTTTAAAATTTTATTCAGAAAACATGTAGCAATTTTAATAAAGTACCTTTTCCCTTTCAATTACATAATTTAAATAAATTATGAAAATATTAGAATGAAAATATTTAGAACAGTAGTATTTTAATAAAATGTTTTGATAGGAGTGAGAAAATCTATTAATCAATTGAGTGCAAAAGTTCACTAGATCATGCATAACACAGAGCTTTCTGCGCTGTGTGCCACGCTTGACATACTATGCTGTAACTTCCTACATTTTTGCAAAAATCAGTTTAACATTAGGGTATAATAATGTTAAAAAGATAGACCATTGAAAAATGCAAGAAATTTTTTTTTAAAATCTTTGAAAACTTTAGTGTGTTTTCCTTTAAACAACTATTTAAGATATTCACCAAACATTGTTCTTCCAAACAATTATGTAAGGACATCATCGGCCAAACTTTGAATATGTTTCGATGAATATTGAATATTTTCACTTTAAAGATTATAAATTATCAGAGTAAAGCCTATAATACTTACATTTAATTGGTTAAAACGAGGTTTATCTGTTGCTACAGTGCCAGAAGATGGATGGATAAAATCTGCCCAGTAGTAGAAGGAAGTTAAATGATCCACTACCATATTTGCAGCCATGACAAACTGAAAGAAACCATGTAATTTAACCATGTGTTCATTGCAAAAGTTGATTTTATTCAACTGATACCAATAAATGCAACTAACATTTTCAGAAGAAACATATAAAATTCATGTATCATTAAAGACATTTCTTTTTGCTAGGGATTATTGAGTTCTATTAAATATCAACATCAATGCCTTTATTCATCCACCCTCAAATGCAGAGGAAGTTGTCAGCATATAGATGGAGCTTAACAAAGTGCATGTCCAGTGGGCAATGCACATGTAAAACTTGGTTGAATGTTAATCCCTCTCCCTCGCTCTTGTTTTTAATCCTGTCATGTATTAATGTTATTTGTTGTCCATAAATAAAATGTCTACTCAGCTAGATTGCATGACTTACTAAGCCCCTCAACCCAACAGGTATTATAAAATATTTAAATTTATTTGCCAAATCACACAAAAAATGAAGAAAGAAAAAAACTTTTTATTTTCTTTCGAGATAAAACAGTTCAAGGTTAAAACTAAAATATAGCAGAATATGCTTCTGGAAACCAAAGTCTTATCAGGTGTCTGTTGAGAAGAAAGTTTGATCTGTTAACAGTCCCTTCACGAAATATTTAATCATAAAAACATTCCCTTAACAAAATGTTTTATCTTTAAAATGAAGCCCTTTCACAATATTTTATCTTTCAAACAGATCCTTCAAAAATGTGTTTACTTTTATAATAAGTGTTTTTCAAATCAAACTAATCTTTGCTAAAAAAAGAAAACAAAAAACGGATTTAAAAGTTTTGTTTTCGCCTTGAATCTTCTTTCTATCCCTCTTCATTCTCAATTTTCCACTGAACAGAAGCTGATGATGCCAGTGATCGGCACTCTGCATGTAGCAGGAGTAGGCGAGGGGAATGATTTTGTTTCAATATTCAGTTCAATACTTTATTATTCAACCAAAATGAACATTCAACATTTGAGCACAATAGGCTGAATACCGATTATTTGTTGCATACCTAATCTAGTAGTAGTAATTTGTATTTATTTTTTAAAATTTCATGTATATTTTTATTATAATTTTACAGTGTTAAGTATAATCTTGAGCCTATTTACAGTCTACAACTCCTTGAAAGTTAAGTGTTTTTCGCTATTTTAACAATAACAAGACCCTATTCAAATAAATTCATGAAAACAGGACTCTGGTTGAAAGAATATGACTTAATGCCAATTTTAAATTCACAAATTATGAGTAGTTTTTCTACAAATTACAAAAATTTCAATTACAAAAACTGGATTTTTCAAAAAATATCTGCACAGACCCTTTGCTCATGCAATTTTTTCAAGTTATATTCTCTGTAATTGTGTAGAAAATAAATTGTACTGACTAATATTTGACATGTTTATTAACAAAAATAAAGAAAGAAAAGGAAAGAAAATTGACATTAAATCTGAAAAAATTAGTTTTTATTCTTTTTTAAAAAACGATCTATTCTTTTTCACATTTCTCTCTATATTAAAAAATTTCAAGAGCTGCTGCCACTATTTTGAGTGTTAATATTACATTTTACTTACTTATATAAAATTCTGTTTTGCTGCGCAGAAACTGAAACACTTAAAAATTTGAAATTTTCAATGCATATGGGAAAAATATTGAGAGTACAATGGATTGGAAAATTCTAACATTTGTTCGAAAATTATTAGCTGTTGAACTTGTAAAAAATAATATGTAGGCAACTCTGTAGCCCAGAAAATGCTGCTATAGAGATGAAATTGGATGAGCTGAAAGGATGAGCTCTTTATTTGGAAGAAAAAAAAAACAATATTTTTAACAAATTTATCTAATTGAGCCATTTATAAATGCTTCAACTTTAACAATGATAATAGAAATGCTTGGAAATACTACAGCTAATGATAATTTCCTAAATTTTTAACTAACCACAATGTTAAAATGTTATTGTTAATGTTGCTTGATGCAGTGGAAATTAGAATTTCTAAAGACAAAATTTTTAAGAATACAATAAGCTAAGATTAAGAGGGGAAAAAAAGAGCAAAACAAGTATTAACCAGCATAGAAGTCTCACTAATATTATTTTCATATAGCATTGGAACTGAACAAAATATCCCATCAGAACCTGTCTGACCCTCTATGATGACTTTTGATATATCATTACAAGATGAGAACACATTATTATTCAAAGTTGAATTACCTATGGAATTATTTAGTTGTCAATATTTTGTTCGAAAATAATATTTTATGATTCCTCAATTCTCAGGTTTTATCTTGATCAATTTTACAAGTAAGTCTTTCATATTTTTTTTATTGAATCTACATAATATTATATATATTCTTATCTTATATATATATTTTCTATATATTCTTCTCTTGTATAACATATAATCCCCATAACTTTTTGGTGATTTCAATATCTCTTTTGCTCATCTGAACCTTAATACTGACGTGCAGTAGAAGAAACAATGTAGGCAACAAAAAATTGAAAATTGAGATTTTTATGTATTCGGAATTTTTATATGATAAGCTTTTTACAGCAAATTTTTTTTCTTTCGAAAACGAATTTTATTTTATCAGTTTTTTTTTTTTTTTGAAATTTTATTTATAGAAAGAAGTACTTTCTATTTATAGAAATAGTAATAGAAAGAAAATGATTGTCAAGCCGCTTTTCTCGAAAACTACAGTTAAGCACTTACATTGTTCCTATAATAGCATGACATAAATGATTGGTCAGAGTTAGAAAAAGATTTTTTTTCTTTCTTTTTTCAATTACACACTGCAGGTTTAATACTGCTGCTCAATTAAATATTATAAGTAGGAACTATTATTATTATATTTTACATTAGTATTGTAAATTTGACAAGTGTAGTCATTATAGAGAACACTCTACATTCTCAAGAGCAGAATTATATTTAATGACTGGCAAAGAAGAGTTTTGATTGAAAACTATTTGTCCTTAAAAGTAAGAATTCTTACTTGTTAAACTATTTCTATCTTTTTAAATATTAAAAAATTTTATAAGGCAAATTAAAATTGCAACTAATAAGTTTAACTAGCTTATAGATATAAATGCCTAGATAAAGATGTAAAAATAAATTTCGACAAACTAAAAGGGAAATCTAACTAATATGCTACACTTTTTTATTAAGAAGTTTTTATGCACACTTAATTTTTGTTCAAAAGAAACTTTTGTTTTTTGTTTTCAATATTAAAATTTAAATTAAATTCTGCGTAAAAAACAATTAGTACATGTTAGAGATCTCCAAAAAACATTTAGATAAAAAAGAAAGAAAACGATGAATTACTTACAAATTGTTCACGTTTAACACTTTCAACTTCACTTGCTTCACTCCAGACACTCATATCATTTTCTGTTTTTTGGCAAATAGTAATTACAGTTAGATTTTCATCATACCTTAAATCTCTATGAGGAAACAGATCTAAAAAGTCTAAAAGGAAAAAAATTACCAATGTATAGTTTATATAAATATTAAAAAATAAACATTGCAATGAAATCATTGTTATACACCAGTGTTTCCCAAACTTATGGCTTTTGTGTACCCTTTCTAAATTTTTAGTAACGTTGTGTACAACTAATAAAAAAAAATGAATGCATTTTTTACAATAAAAAATTGCACAATAGTTAAAAATCACAAAAGGCTGTTTACACCACTAATTATAAACTGTTAACTCTGCAGAAAAAAGCCAATAGAAAAATTTGTAATTTTAATTTTACATGGCTAACTTTGTTTTTAAATAAAAGTTTTTGAAATTTCTGTTTGTTGCCAGATATTTCGCATAAGAACGCATATCTCTTCTAAACTGTTCCAGTACCCCTGGGGGAACACATACCACACTTTGGGAAACACTGTTATACACAATAATGATAAAACACAAGTTGATTCTAAGATTTCAAAAGTTCTTGAAAACTTTGTAAGTCAAAACTGTTAACAAATTTTGAAAGATTGTGATTCAGCACTTTTAGAAATGATGTATTTTTCACCCGTTGCAAAATTTAGGCACTCTAAAGTTCATAACAAAATGAATATTTTTAGAATTATTTAATTCTAATGTTTAATTCTAATGTCTAATGTCTAATTCTAAAGTTTAAATCTAATGTCTAATATTATCTAAATTAAAAACACTTTTTTAAAAAAAGAGCCATGCATTTAATGTCTCTTTTTGAACAAAGCATGAATGACATAAGAAAAAGTGATACCATTTATAAAAAATTTCTGAACACAATTTTAACAACTGAAAATGCAGTCTGAAAATAGGCACACAGGTTAAAGCAAAAATAAAATTTCTAATAACAAAAATCGTTACATTTTTTACTCTTCAGCCAAAATACTAAATCTATTAACATTTTAAAGTCATAAAACATGCGATTACTTGGACTATAGAAAAGAAATGTCCAATTATCAAGCCATCCAAAATAAATTGCTGCATTTTGTACACCCCCCACCTTTTTTTCAGTTTTGTTCTATTCAACATAGCTCTAAATATTTTATGCCAAATCATGATTTAATAAATGTCATCTGTACAGCATGCAGCTAAAATATTTTTGTTTAATGATGTTTTGCTTTTTATATAGGTATTGCTATAAGCTTAATTGAGATTGGTCTTTCACATATTCCAACATAATCATGCACAGTGAGAAACTTCTCGCTTATTTCCTCAGTATTTTAAAGTTTATATACACATGAATACATAGATAATAAACATGGTTTCTGTATATTCATTTGTACATTATCTTCAGTCAAATTTACAGAAAACATACATATATTCAATTTGAAAGTAATTAAATGAATATTTTTAAGTTATATTTTCTCATTTTTGTGTCCACCAATCACAACGAACAAAAACTTAGAGGAAAAAAACAACAACAAATGTTTTTCATTAATTTATTCAAAAAGTGTATTAATAAATCTTATTTTTATTCAGTCAGTTAAATTTAAGTTAAAGCTAAGGCTATAGCCATTGGTAAGATTGCACAACTGAACAAACAGAAAAACAGACAGAAACAGAAAAACTATACTAAATCTATTGCTTTAAAACTCAGGAATGAGCAAGCAGTAAATCACAATACTGCTTTTTTCAGCTGTGTTTACAACCTGTTTTTTAAAAGTATGGAATTGTTTATAAAAAGAATAAGACAATCAGCTTAAATTATGTAATTTATAAGTACCTCTCTTTAGAAGTTCAGGACAATCATAACCTGCATATTCTGTTTTACCAGAACCAAATAAAATTTCCTAAAAATGTATATCAAAATTAAAAAACATTTTATCACAATATTCTGCAATGCAATATCTTAATGCTAAGCTTTCACAAAGACTTCAATGAAAAAGTTTTAAAAATATTTCTCAAGTACTAAAAAGAATCTTATAAAGACATAATCCATACATTAATAAAAAGCTAATTAATTTTCTTAATACTTAAAAGCATTTTTATCCAAATAAAGCATTTTCTCACTACACTGCACAAATTAGCAAAAAATTGCAATGAGATTTTAACTTCAATAGATTTTAGTAACACTATATTGAAATTTAAAAGAAAACTTTAATATTTGTATTTTTTAGATTTTTTGGACAAAGGAATCAAGTTCAAATAACTAAAAAAATTTTTTATAATATAGTACTTAATTTTTTGGGTGGAAATACTGGCGACGTTAGAATGAATGACTTTCCTAGCCTGGACGAAATCTGATGTTACAATGAGAGGTTGTTATATCGTTAGTGCACAAAAATACCATAAATATTAAATCATACCTTAAAAGATGCTTTACATTAAAAAGAATTTTGTGACTAACAGAAAAATTGAAAGCTACATAAATTTTTTCCTATGTTATTATATCCCCATAAGTACTCTTTAACTTGAAAATAAAACCACACAAAAAGAGTAACAATTCACAAAAAAAGAGAATACTATTTTCAAACAAGAAAAGTATGATTGAAAAATATATTGTATATTTTTAAAAAACAGTCACACAGCTTATAAATTTTTAAAAAACAGTCACACAGCTTATAAATGATCATAAGTTATGAGCACCAATGATTTAAAATACGAATTTAGAGAGACTCTTGTGTAATGTATAGCTACAAGGTGTCAAACAGGTGTAATGTATGGCAACATCAAAGGAAATAATGGTTTAATTAATTTGTTTTAAATTTTTTCTTAACCAAATAATTAGATTTTGATCGCTATGTTGGAATGAACTATTCAGTGAGGTGGTTGAAATGGATATTAAAATAACATTAGCAAATAGCAAACGGGACATAGTGCATTAGTCTTTATATTGGAATGGTTGCTGTAATCTGGAGTAGTAATAAAGAATGTAGACTGTGTTCTTTCAATTTCATACTATTGAATTGCGTACTTAAATGAGTGATAAATTAGAAAAAAAATTAAATAAAAAGTTTTTTGATAAAATTAAGGTAAATTTTTACAAAACAAACAATGTGAGTTGTGGGTTAGTAATAAGAGGCAAACAATAAATAAAAAAATAAAGTAAAGCATCCCCGCAACAGCCCGTTGTGGGCCAGGGAGTCATAGAGGCTGAAGCTCTACAATTCGAGACCAACAGCATGACTGTAGCAATGTGGTCAGCACTGCACGCAGGCAACCTTTAATTCTTAGACATGCAGGTACCCATTGATATGAGGCTGGGTAGTCTTCAAGTTGCCACCGGGGATTGAACCCCAAGTTTTCACAATGACAGTTCAGTGCCTTAACCACAAACTTCTGAGGGGAAAAGATGCTTAAAAAACCACTTTTATTTTTAACAGGAACCAATGATTTCATGGGTTTAAAAATTCCAAGAATGTTTCAGTTGTACTCACACTTTTTTTATTTTGATTGTTTAAGTTGCATTTTAAAATTCTGTTTAAATAAAAGACAATTACTACTTAATCTCAATAGATAGACTAAGAAAATTTTCTTTATACTAAAAATTTTTTCATAAAAATATGAAAAACATAATTTTTTTCATGTTTAATGAAAACAAGATAATTTATCAATACAGAACTAAACTTTAAAATATTTATGGGATAATTTTGAAACTTACTGCCCCAGCTGTTATTGCAGCCTGACTGCAAATATTTTGATACCTCTCAACTGGCAACTGCTTAGTCAATATTTCACAGTTTTCACCAGCTGGTTTTGGAAACTCTTGATTAGTGTCCTATATCAAAAACAGATATTACTTAGAATGATCATATAATTTTATACAAAGTACCATAATCTTCGAAATATTATCTGCAGCGATGCATAACCTGCAAACGCTATTCTCTGAAGTGAAGAAAAATAGCACCGCATAATCAGCCTCAAAACTTTATCTGCACTGATATACCATTCTATTATACAAGGGTAAAGCATGAATAAAGTTATAAAATAAAAACACTTGCATTTAAAAATGAAATATTAAATAAAAAGGTTATGAACCTTTAATTATGAGATACGGAATAAAATATATTGAAAAATGAAACATTAAACAAAGAAAATTACAAATGTTTGAAAATTAGTTCCTTTTATGAAATAATAGATAATTTTACAATAAACAAATGCCAATACTAAATAAATACAAAAATTAATTCATTCAAACCCTTCTAAGTCTGATTCAGAGTTAAATAATTCTAAGATCCAAATTTAAATTAATATTTTCCATTTCGTTATTTTCTTCCTCAGAACCAATCAAAATGTCCATAATTTTTGTAGTTATGGATTCATTTTTCATACAATGAGGCAATATCCCATCCTATCAAAAAGCATTTGTTAGGGTCTTAGTCATTACCACATCTCACGGCTCTACTCACTCACACTTCCGCGTAAGTTGTCCAACAAACTTTCCCATCTGTCTTAGTGTAAGTATATTAAGTGTTAAACATCCAGTCTTCCCACAAAGCTCGCATTTGAGCTACAAATGGTTTGTTTATTCCAACATCCAGGACTTACAGTTTTTTTGTAAACTCCCCTGGAATTATAATTTTATCTAAAAATTTTTACACTTTTCTTTCATTATGTCTGTGATGGAGCCCCCATTGAGTCCATAATCAACAATCCTACTTGTTAAAGAAGGTGCCACCTATACTGATGACAATCACCATGTCGAGACATTGCACCTCATCCACTATTTTCATTCACCTGAATCCTGATTCCTTTTGTATAATTCTTTTTCAATATTGACTTCCACTTGAAAATAACGAGGGAAGCAAGCTTTTTTCATACGCCAGAATGACAGTGAAAGCAGTTTTCCCATTCCACGTTGATGCAATGGCGATGAAACTAACCGCACAGGAATCAACTGTTCTATTCCAGAGAGGGGGGACAAATGAAACCTAGGGGTACCTCATTTATGTTTATAATATCCTTTTCTGTGAACTTTTTATCTGCTATCACAGTTTTTGTGAAATTTGGAAATTCCATTCATATTTCTTTCCAATCCAAGGATAAGAAATGCCCAACAGAAATAAAGATGTTGTTGAATATGAGAGTGCAAATTTGTACTCTCAAATTAAAGCCTCTTATAAATCAGTAGCACCACAAGTAGAGAAAAAAATGGTTTCTAAGAGTGAAAAAAAAAGTAGATTTTGTTTTCTTTCTCAGAAAAATGAAGCCATGAAAGTGTGCTGTGTTTGACCGTAGTTATATGGCGATGGCAAATCCAATAAAAAAAAAAGAGAGAGAGAAATTAATAAATATGGAAAGACACACGCAAATTCGATTGTGATTATGATAATCGGGAGAAAAACAGGCACTGAACGTTTCGACGGGCGGGGTGGATTTCGGAGCATTGTCAGCACCGGCCTATAATCCGCTTAGCTGATTTTAAAAGGAAATCTGCAGATGGTACTCCGAAAATTATGGTACACATATAAACAAAAAACAATAACTTTGTTCAACCCTAAGCAAGTTTTTGACAATTTTAACCATGGTTAAAACTGTCACATCAAAAACCTAAAAATTTATATTTTACTATTGATATAAATATTATTATTTATATTTTGAAAAGCTTATTGTTTGTAGTTTTTAAATTGCAATATTAAGAATTAAATTTTTGGTAAAATTTAAAGTATATTAAAAAATAACTATTAATTCATTGTATATTTTAAATATAGGCCACCCTGAACAAAAAGATTTATTTCAAGCACTCTAGCTGTTGAGTTACTATTAAGAAGAAATTCTAATAATAGAAAAATAACTACATTCTAATAGTTATCTCAGCTAATACTCCCTAGAATATAAAGGCTAGGTAAAATGAAATTTTAAATTTTAACGTTAAATTAGAAGACATGGAGATTTCTCAAAATCTTTTTCAATTTTATTGTGTTAAAATGTATACTGCTACTTTCTTTTTACAAAGATCATTTTAAAATTAAATTAAAAATAGGATTCATAATACATATAGAATCAATAAAAACAATTTAATTAATAATAATAATAATAGAATTATAATAATTATATATTTTATACTGTACATCCCAGTGTGTAAGTCGACTCCCTATTTTTGAATATAAGACAGCAAATTTTTAGTATGTCAAGTGTATAAGTCAATCACTTGGAAAAAAAATTGTCCACCTCCTTTAATTGTGTCACAGATAAGGGAATACCCTGCTTATAAGAATAAAACTTTCTGGAACCGAACATTTCCCAGTAGATGTAATGTCAAAGATCCCCTCTTAATCAAATAATTTTCGAAGATAATGCAATACTGATATTGTTTTACAAATATTTTTGCAAAAAAATATTCCAATAAATTAAATAAGAGTAGTTTTTAAATTAATTTTAGATACAGTGCAGCCAAGTCACCAGCAATCAAATCTATGTTATGAGCACATAAATTTAACTAATGATATTAATGCTAATGTTGAATTTTGGTAATATAAGTTATAAGTTGTGATAAAGCAGAGAAGTGATTTTAGAAATTAAAAGTTTCGAACTTAAAAATTAATTCAAAAATTGAAATTTAAAAGTTTGTTTAATTTAACTTGAAAGTTGTATATTGATTTTAGGCAAATTTTAAATTTTTCAAAATGCATAAATTTAATTTTGGAAATTGGTCAGATCGGATGCATGTGGAAACTGAATTTTTCAAAGAATTGTTTCATACTGTCAATTACTTATGCTTATTAAATAAAGTAATCAGTTTCAACGGTACAGACTTGCATATTTTTCAAATTCCAAAATTTAACTTGAAAGGTAAGTCATATTTTTAGTACTTTTGAGATAGACATGTTAAAGTTAAAATATATTTGTATACTATGTCTATAAATTAAGCATTCAATTCTATATGTGTGACTTAGAGCAAATTTTTGACAGATTTGTCTGAGGGAGTAGATTGTTCGAAATATAGTCAATAATCATGTCAAATCAGCCAATATATATATTCATTGCCTATCTCGTAAGTCACCGAATGATGTCATTAAAGTTTGATATTGGGTGTTCGTCGGGAGTGGTAACAAACCATACTTGTAGGACAGTGTTTTGCTCACAGAAGATGCCGGTTATTATTCAACTTTTCATCTACCTGTAAATTAATGTATGCAAGATGCTCAGTAAGATTGAGCAGTTTGTCATAGGCAAAAGTAAAATGCCTGGATGTATCCATAATATAATGCCAGTTTCATATGCACATTCAAAAAAGTCTTGGAAGACCAAAAGCATTTTCACAAAATGTCTTATGAATTTGAACCATGACATGAAAAAAATAATAATTTTCAAGGACACTTTGCTTTCTAGACATGTTGAAACCTCAAAAAAGAGTATGTATGTTTCATTATCTGTTACCAGTTTTGTGTTTTAAGGGTTACAATTCCAAGGATTCTTTACTGATTCTGACATGCGCCCCTTTTTGGTGCTCAGTTATATTATGGGGAACCTAACAGCAAAATTTTTTTTTCATAGGTAATTCGTGAATAATTTTGTGTATGGCAACTGGCAACAGAACTAATGTTAAGTTCCTTCTGTATCATTTAATATGTAGAGTGATTATTAGCCATTAACATTTTCTGTACACATTATCTGAGAAGACGGCCGAGGGTGGACTTCCTTTTTGTTCTCCTCCTGAAGAAAATGGCAACCTTAGCAAAATTCTGTACACCATCTGAATAAAGTAACACAAGGTGGTCCTATATTTCCAAATGCTAATTGTAGTCGTTGAAAGAATTCTTATTGATTTAATCCCACTTTAAAACCATAACACAATAATGTTTTTGAGCCAGCTCCATCTTATTGTCTAAAATTTGTTTTATGCTAAACAACCTGAAACTAAGTCAAAAAAATCATTTGCTATGCTAAAATTGTTTGTATCTTCAAATTAAACTAACGTGATATAAATAATTAAATTAATGCCATAATTTATTTTTTTAAATTTTTCTTACCATTTAGATTAGAATTCTAATCACCACATTAAAATGAAAAAGTGCCCAAAATAACCCTAACTTTATAGAACTATCAAAACATAAGTAACAATGCAATATAATTATTAATTCTTGTTGTGCTTGTGATTTTTTTTAAAAAATATATTCGTATTTCTAGATGGCCTTTTTTTCTACAGATAATTTTTTGTCAATTCACTTTAAACCTTAATTATATAACAAGAAATATTTTAATAACTTACTCTAGAGAACATAGAAATTGGAGGAATTCCCATATTGCTTGGTAAAGGTGTTCGAATGTCAGGAAGTAAGTAAATTTCTTTTTCACCATATCCTTTCTTTAACCCTTCAAGAAAAAGAAACAAAAAACTTTTATGTTCTCATAATGCAAAAAAAGTTGGGCTTTTTTAATTGATGTTTAGGATCTTCAAAATTAAGACTGCCGAAGAAAAATAATTTTATTTGTAGAATTATCATTTATTTGTAGAATTAGAAAAATAATTTTATTTGTAGGCAGTTGATGCTATTGATTTTCCCCATAGTTTTTAAAAATCAGATATTTTTAATATGATATCAATTTTCAACAAGGGAATCTCAAAACATGCATTTGATGAATTACCCTTTTCTGAAGAGTCTGATTTGCATGATCCTTCATAAATCTACATGATTTTGTGACCAATATTTTTTTCGGCAGTTACTGCCACAGATTTCACGATTTATATATTCTAATTCTGCTACAGTTTGCAAATGTTTCAAATGCTTACTGCTTCAGTTTTGATGTATCAAGTGGCTACAGAACAGTTCCAATTATAGGAAATGCATGATGCTAAATTAAAAAGCATTAATTTTTCCAAGTACCCAAAAATGCAAAGAGTTTTAGTAAGAAAAAAAGAAAAGTATGAGGCTTAAAAATAATCAAAACTGTTTAGGGTTCATGCTGACTTTTCTAGGTTTTTCATGTCAAATTACATAAAATTCGCTTTAAAAAAAAAACTAAATTAATGTTTAATAAAAAATGAAAATATGATATGCAATATGAAAAAATAAATAAAAAATAACATAATCATTGCATTTTATAAATGCACAGAAAATAAATAAGCAAAATATGCCAGATAATTGAACTCAGTAAACCTCAGTTATCGATTTAAATCTATTTTCTGTATAAATTCCACATCATAATAAGTATAAAAGTCTATCAGAATAAGAGCATTTATAATAATAACAACAATAAAGAAGGAAAAAAGCCAACAGTACTTCACATTAAATTTTTTTTTAAATAAATGATAAAAAAAAAGTCAAAAATGCAATGAGAGAAAAAAAAATGCGGGAGACTAACTGAAAAAAACCTGTTTACCATAATAATTTATCACTTATTTATAAGGATGATCTGAATGAAGGCTCTGATCTGAATTAAGTAGAAAAAGAAAAAAAAACATAAAATCATATTACATATGTAAATTAGTGAATAGCCCTCTTTTAAATTTTCATTAATTATTATTTTTTTAATTTAAAACAATCATCATATAGACTTGAATATGCTAAAATTATAAAGCTACGGAATTCTTAATGAACATAAAAACTTTTATCAAAAAATATCCCTTCACTTGAAAAACTCAATATTTAATAATTCGTAATTAGATGCAATTATTTAAAAAATATTTAATTAAAAAAAAAAGAATTTTAATAATTCTGGGAAAAAACAAAACTTCTGAATAATTAAGCATTTTTGCCAAAAGTAATTTAGCATATGGTCCCTCTGCTAAATTCCCCATTCTTAATAATTCTGGAATCATTGAACTCTAATAACATAATTTTTTTTTAATAAAATGACAAAAACATTAATTTTTTTGGAATAAAAAATTTAAATCATAAAAAATTTGTTACATCATGTGCTTGAAATATTATATAATTGAAGGTCCCCTAAATCTGTACTTCATTGAAATCTCGATTGAACTTCTGTTCTTCATAAAATAACTCAAGAATACTGAAATTTTTGAAAATAACAAATTCAGTAAGGTAGATAAGAAGTCTAAAATACTTTGGATAATAAAAATAAATGGATAGTTCCTCAGATCTTACTTTGCTAAATTAGAATTTAAATTATAAATTTCACATTTATTTAATAGAAGTGGGATATGAAAATGTGCCTGCCTTTAACTGCCCTAAATTCAAATGAAAAACTTGATAAAGGAACAATACCAAAGTTCTGCATTGCAGTACTAATCTACAAATTAAACGGGGCACTAACACCATCAGCTTTCTAGTAAATAGATTGGCACTATCAGTGTGGAAAAGGAAAAAAAATTTCAAATAAAATATGGTAACTCTAAATTTGTCTTTTAAATTGGTTGAAATTCGTGAGATTTTCAGCTCAGTTCCAGAGGGCGAGAGATGCAACCAGAAATCGCAAGTTAGCCGTAAAATGTGGCAGGGTTAGCATGTCTTTAATTCATTGCACTCTACCACTGTTTTTAAAACATCGATAATAAGACTTTGAAGACAAAAATTTTGAAAAACATATCTCTGTCTTTATTATTAGAAGTTCAATCCATCAATCAATGTGAATATCACAATAGTTCAATATTTTTATTATTATTATATTTATATTATTTATTTATTTTTATTTCACGAAAATGAGTAACATTATAAAATTTACCTTCAGATTCAGAATTTCTATAGTTAGACTCTGAGGTTAGCCGAACACTTTTACTGGAATATATACTTCTAGAAATGCGACAAGCGAGCTGTTGCCGCTGCAGAGTAGCAATTTTTCCTGATAGCTGGAGCATCTGATAATAAATAATCATTTAGTGATATTATATCTGAAAACTTAATATTGAAAATAGTTCATAAAAATAATTAGAAAAAATACGTAGAAATATGGTTTTGTTAATAACAAAGCAGGTTAATGTTTCATGCTTATAACCAGAGATGTATCTAAGGAATATAGTGCCTGAAGCAAATCTCGAATTGGCGCCCTTCAATATGTTCAGAAAAATTTTGCTCTGAGTTTTTTTTTTAAATGGAATAATAACACCATTTAGAAATAAATGTCTTTCAGTATTAAAAATTAAATTGAAGAAAGCTGTTATTTGAATTTGAAGAAAAAAAATCATTTTTTGCTAACAGCAAAAAAATAAACATTTAAGAAGCTTCTGACCAGGGTTGGAGTTTTTGCCGGCAAAAAGGGTTTTTTGCCAAGATAATGGCAAAAACCTGGTAAAAACCGGCAAAAACCAAATTATCTAAATTGCTGATTACAAAATACTTGAAACAAATTTAAATCAATCATAAAGAATAATAATTTTGATACATTTCATGAAAAAATTATTTTTAACATATTAATGATTAATATAAGGGTAATAATTTTTAAAAGATTGAAAGTTTTTGATCTCTTTTCATTTTAGAATCCTAAAATAAATGTTTTTTTACAAATAAATAAATATTATTATTTGTATAATATTATTATTTATTATAAAAAATTATTATTTGTACAATAATTAACTACACATGTTGATAGATATATTATGCTTTAAATTATAGTTATATGTATTAATTTAAAATAAGTTCATTTCACTGGAAAAAAGAGAATAATCACAAATTTTCCAATCAATAATGTTTTAAACTACTGAAATGATATATTATTACATTATCATTTAATTATGGAATAATAATTTTGTTCATTTTTTTGTAATTATTTATATTCATAGTATATATTTCAATTTTAGGAATAATTTTGTATCAAAAATGTGTTTTTGTCCTCTCATCTTGGAAAATATAGGTTTTTGCCACTTTTTGCAAATTTGTTTGGCAAAAACCTGTTTTTGCCAGGACGGTTTTTACCAGTATTTACCATGGTTTTTTCCACCTGCGGCAAAATCTTGCCAACCCTGTTTCTGACTATATGAATTCAAATTAAATAAAATAAAATTTTCTCAATATTATAAATTAATTTAAGAGCTCAATACAAATAATTACAGCCAATTACCAGCCTAATGAAACATTCCCAAGATGGTAAAAACCTCAAATGGTAAATACCACGCCAACTCTGTCTTTAGTGTTGCAATAGCACTTTTTGTACACAGGTTTGTAATTACACAAATATGGGGGAAACATACAAAGTGATGTGTAGAACAAAATATACAAATTATTCTAAGAATATTGATTATTACATATCAGTGGTGTAAATAACATCGGGATGCGGGAGTCGTACCAGTTTATAGAGCACACTTGCTAGAAAAAAAATTCTACTATGAATTAAAATAAAAATATTTTTTATTAATAAAATAATTTTTTTAGTTCAGTTTATAAATAATAATAACTTTTAACTAAACTTTAAATATAATTATTATGAGATAGTAAATTATTTTCTCCTATTACCAAAACAAATTAATTTTAATATGGTAAGTCAGTATAGTGTTTCAAGTTAGCACCTTAATAATAACCTTTAGTCGCAATTACAATTTTCATTTTCTTGAATTAAAATAAAATTAATGATTATAAACATCCAAATATCTCTTCACCACAGTGTTGTTGTTTCATATTATAATTTTAAATATCTTTATGATAAGTCTAAGATAGGACGCACTTGAAAGGAGGTGCACCTAAGTCTATGTAGATTACTGATACATATTCAAATGCACAGTCACACTATCTGAATATGTATGCATCTATATCTGCAACAATTTCATAATATAGTTAATTACCTAAAAAATATAGAAATATATGCTGGAGACGCAGAACAATAATAAAATTTTACCTATAATATATTTTTTCAAAAATATAATTTAAGTGCAAAATGTAACTGATACATACTTTTTCAACTCTTTTTCAGCATTTTAAGAAAAGCATATTATTAAATAATAAAAAGTAAATATTTTAATTAGAAATATTGTTTAAGGATGCAAAAGTTCACAAATTGAGAAAATAGCCCACTATAAATGGCAACAATGAAAGAAAAGAGAAAATTTCAAATGTAAATTAAGAATTTAATATTTAACAAGTTTCATTTAATGAGTTGTAATTATTTTTTCTCTATTGGTGTTCCTCAGACTATTGTATTGATATATTTTTTTTAGCTATATTAATACAGTATTTGAAAGCATTATTTTTGAGGATATAATTGTGTGAGCTGATGATAAGATTATGTCTTTTCATTATTTTTTTTTTAATAATTGCAAATTTTTAATTTTTTAAATTTTTTTTTTATCTTTATATATACATATACAGTACAGAACCCGTTATCCGGAAATCAGAAAACCGGAAAACCAAAAAACCGGAACGAAATTCGATAAATTTTCACACCATTTTTTTAAAAAAAAAATTTTTTTTCCTCATGAGATTTTAGGATTTTTCTTTCTTTTTTGAAAGATGTTCACCTTACTATCATTTTGGAAATAATCATTAGTGTATTACTTCACCATTTTTTCTTCTTTTTAAGATTATTTCCAAAAAAAAATTTTTTTAGTTGGGTTTAACAATAAAAAAAAACGGCTTTTTGTAGCAATTCTGAAAACCGGAAAAATCAGTTATCCGGGATAGCGATGGTCCCGATCATTCCGGATAATCAGTTCCCTACTGTGTATATATATATATATATATATTTATATCTATATACATATATATTTAGAAAAAAAAAGTCAAAATAAATTATAATTGGGCATGAAATTGATAAGAATATTAAAACAGGAAAAAGTCCAAAAAGTAGATAGAGGAAATAGTAAACAATCCAATCAGCATCTAAAACCTCCCAAGAGAAATAGAACAAAAATGGAAATTTAAGTCCTGGCACTAACAGACATGATAGTGCAGGAGCAGTGCTCCAGTTGGCAAAATTGCACTAACAACTTGTTGTTGTTGTTGCTAATTCCCATCTGGTTT